AAAAAAATCACATCACAGCACCTTTCTAGTGATTTCATGGAGTGCTCAACTGGCATCCTTGGCAGGCCAACTGGTATTCCAGAGCATGCTGCAGCCATGCTTCATTTCTCTTCCTTGAGGCATTGTTGAGCCTGGCTGAAATGCTTCGTGGCTAGCAGTGGGAAGTCAATAATCATTGCTGGATTAATTATAGAAATGTGGAGAGCATAGATGTGAGATCAAAAGCAGTACTGTAAAAAAAATGAACACGTGGTCTATGGCCAACACGAACCTTGCATTATACTGCAGTTCACACTGCAATGCTATCAGAGTTTTGACTGTATTCAGATACAACACAGCTTCTTCAGCTCTGCATGGAGTTACCTGAACTATGCATGTGCCTCTACTTAGTATGACAGTTTCTGATATACTGGTACATGTTGTGTAATGGTAGAGTATGCTGCACAGATGAATACAAAAGACTTCAGGGAGAAATAAAAAAGTATTAATGAATACTCATGCTCTAGATGGACGCCTGAGAGCCATTTTGGCATCTCCGGCTTGTGCACAACAGGTGAAATGGCAGATTACATATTATAACAGGCTGGTGGTTTTCCCTCCCATTTACCCAAATACTGATTATTTTTTTTTACCTTCGGTGTTACTGAAATTTATTTCTAATATTTATTCCTTTTCTTTTCCTTTTGCTATACGCCGTATCAAGGTGGTTGGTTCTGTCATCTTTTAGGAGCAACTTGGGACATTGGTTAAAGACAGTTAAGTTGGAAGGGTGGAGGTGGTGTGTATAGTAAACCTGTATTTCTTCATATTGTGGGATTGTATTTAGTCATACGACAATTTAAAAGAGGCTAGGGCATGATTGTTGCAAACTAGAATTCTGTGTAACACAAGATTTCAAGCAACGATGGTCACACTTGCGTGTCCTGTGAGGAGCGGGTAAGGACTCTGGGTTTGTCTCGTTTGGAGAAAAGGAGGCTGAGAGGCGACCTCATTGCTCTCTACGGCTTCCTGAGGAGGGGATGTGTGGAGAGAGGTGCTGAGCTCTTCTCCCTGGGATCCAGGGACAGGACACGTGGGCATGCTTCAAAGCTGCAGCACGGGAGGTTCAGACTGGACATTAGGAAGCCTTTCTTTACTGAGAGGGTGGCCAAACACTGGAACAGGCTTCCTAGAGGTGGTTGATGCCCCAAGCCTGTCAGTGTTTAAGAGGCTTTTGGACAATGCCCTTAATAACATGCTTTAAATTTTGTTCAGCCATGAAGTGGTTAGGCAGTTGGGACTAGATTATTGTTGTAGGTCCCTTGCAACTGAACTACTCTGTTCTATTCTGCTTTCTTTTTATGTTGTGATAATGACAAAAACAAAATAAGCAGCATCTGTACAAAGGGAATGCACTTCCTCGGATCACCTGCCATTGCTCAGGTACCCATGCTGCAGTCTAGTTGAATTTTTCATGACTCCACTACAGCTGAATGGGGTAAGGAAGGAATATGGTTAAATGGATTCCTCAGTTTGTTACTATCGATTGGAATAAGTGAGAAGACAAAAGTCCTGGGCTGCTTCCTTCAGTCACCAGTTAGTTTAAGGGAAGTACTGCAGACAAGCCAGTCCTAAACCTGAAGTTTTCAAGCTGCCTGTGCTTTGAATATCTTGGTAGACACCAATTCCTCTCTTGCTCCTGCCCCCTAAGCTTTTGTTGCAGAATATGCTATTTTTTGGATAGTGCACAAGGAGAACTTCAGAACATCTTGAAAATTAGCCATATTTAAACACAATAGGATGTTACTGTCCTGGTATGAATAAATCACAGAATCACAGAGCAGCTGAGGTGGGAAGGGACCTCCGGAGGTCATCTGGTCCAACCCTCCATGCTCAAGCAGGGCCACCTACAGCCGGCTGCCCAGGACCATGTCCAGGCAGCTTTTGAGTATCTCCAAGGTGGGAGACTCCACAACCTTTCTGCACAACCTCTGCCAGCGCTCCGTCACCCACACAGTGAAAAAGTGTTTCTTGATGTTCAGCGGGAACCTCCTGTGTTTCGATTTGTGCCCATGGCCTCTTGTGCTGTCACTGGGCACCCCTGAAAACAGCCCGGCTCCATTGTCTTTGCACCCTCCCTTCAGGTACTTATTTACACATTGGTAAGATCCCCCAAGCCTTCTCTTCTCTAGGCTGAACAGTCCCAGCTCTCCCACCCTTTCCTCATATGAGAGATGCTCCAATCCCTTAAACATCTTCAAGGCCCTTTGTTGGACTCTCTCCAGTATGGCCACGTCTCTCTTGTACTGGGGAGCCCAGAACTGGACACAGCACTCCAGGCGTGGCCTCAACAGTGCCCGTACAGGGGAAGGATCACCTACCTGGACCTGCTGGCAGTACTTCGCCTAACATAGCCCAGGACACCATTAGCCACCTTTGCTGCCAGGGCATGCTGCTGGCTCATGTTTAACTCTGAGTCCACGCTGCACTAATTTTGTATCATCAGTGTACACACAGTTAAAAGATGTGTATACTTCCCTGTCATAGGTTTCTTTTAGGCACCTAGCATCTGTTTACCCCATGACTGTCAACTTTGGGCATAGGAAGTTTTGAGCCATTATGTGTATGAACATAGGTTTCAGGCGCAGTTGTAAAAGCAAGTTTTACAGTGCTGAGCCAGTCCTACCTGTCATTTGGTTGCAGTCAAGAAACCTTTCTGTTCTTCCCCTCTGCTCACTGTTATAAGCCTGTACCAGCAAGTGACTTACTGAAGCTGTCTGTTCATAGCAATTCTGAAAAGGCTGACCTTCACATCTGCGCTTTACAGGTCATAGTGGAGAAGGTCTCAGGATCTCAGATTGTTGATATTGACAAGAGGAAGTACTTAGTTCCGTCTGACATCACTGTGGCCCAGTTCATGTGGATCATCAGGAAGAGGATTCAACTGCCATCTGAGAAAGCAATATTCCTCTTTGTAGACAAGACTGTCCCACAATCCAGGTGAGAGGCTATTCACTTGGTATTCAAAACAATTTCAGCAAGCCTGTGCATATCAGAGGGCCAGTAACTCCCCTCTTTGAGGCTTATTTGGTGATTTTAGGAGGTGTTTGGTTACATCTTAATCTTACTGTGATAGTTTGGGGTTTTTTTTCCCCCATCAGTTCAATAAAAATCTTATTTCTTGAGCTAGGCTGAAAGGAAAGGTGACTGAAAAATATATTACGATTACTTCCATGGCAAGAGGGTGAGCTCTGGAGTTACTATGATATTCTTGGTCAAGTGCAAGAACATTTACGTCATCAATGCCAAAAAAATAATCATCCTTGATGTAACAAAAAAGTTGCATGTTAAATACTCAAAAGCAAATGCCGTAAATTATTCTGAAAAAACATTAACCTGTCAGTTCACAAACAATTGGGATGTTACAGACTAGTTGCTGTTACTTGTTTTAGAAATTACTTATTTTCTTCTATAAACACAAAATGACTATAGAAAGGTTTTTCACATTGTTTTTATATAGGAATAAGTGTCATTGTTGTCTGCTACATATAGAATAATGTATAGCAGAAGCAGCTGTGACAACTGCTTTCTATGCAAGATACTTTAATAGTGTTTGAGGAAATAGTATGTCATGACGTTACATGGCTTAGATATGGTATTATTCTTATTAATCCTTACCTGTGTAACAGTAACAGTCCCTCCAGGTAAACTGTCCAGACGCAGTTAGGAATATTTTTATTTACTTTGTGATACACAATAGGGACCTGTTAGGACCATCTTTTTCTGCTTGCTTTCTCCTAAGAGTATTAGGAATGCCTGTATATCATCTTCTTAACAGTGCTGTAGAACCGCTAGGAACAGGAAAGAAAAAGAGGGCACATTGTCTCATCTCACATGTTCGCGGTGAGATGTCACACCTCTGCTGGAAAAATAGGGCCTTGAACCTTCAATATTAATGCAAAAATGGTAACTTGTTAACAGATAAACAAAAATCTAATCTGTTAATGGCTCTGCTCCTCTCATAGGCTGAGTTTATTACATAGACCAGTAGCTCTTGACATCCTCTGTCCTCACCCATAAGTTTATCTACTACTCACCAATTCCCTTCCATTTTAAGTACTGCCTGCAACTCTTCCCAGCTCCTCTACTGGGTAAAAAGCCATGATCGTTCTCCCTGTCACTCACATTCAGTCTGCATCTTTCAGTTCCCTAGCCCTTCCTCAGTCTCGGGAAATCAGAGAAAGGTTTGCTGAGGAGATGTCATTTGTGCAACTGACTGATGGCAACTGCCTGTTTCATCTGTAGATAGATGGTTGGAGCAGTTGTACTGGCCGAGTAATTGCTCGGGTTTCTTTTTGTTTTCAAAATACAGACATTGCCCTAAATAACACAACTGCTTAGACTGTGAAGGGGCACGTGTCTTTTCAGTTTAAGAAAATTTTTATTTGATCAAACATTCAAAACCTTACCCACTGAAAAGGCACTAGTTTCTGGCTAACTTGTAATTTATTGCCCATGCATTTTGGTACTAGCACTATTTTAAGTCATCACTTTTTAACAATATAGAAAACAAAGCTTGTACTCCCCAAAACAACCTTGACCTCAAAGAAACAGTCCAAAAAGCACGAGTTTGATAGACTTGCGACCAGCTGAACATTTACAACTACATCAGGTGGAAGGAGAAATGAGGTTGCTCACACAAGAACAAATACATTAATGCAGCTCCATTCAAGGAAGGTGCTATCAGGCTATTGATCCTGGTATTAGTTGTGGCATCAATAATGGATGATTCAGAACCTGAAATACATTCAGTGACTAATTTCCAATAAAACAGGGAAGAATTCTGACAAATGCATTAGTGAAGAAGTAACAAAAACCTAGATGCTCTGCAGAGAGCCCAGGATCATTTTGCTAACTCAGGAGTCAATTGCTTTTCATGTATCTTCATTTTTGCATTTTAATTTATACACAGACTTACAAGTTTTAGCTTTTATTAATCCTTGTTTACATGAGGTTCTAACTATTACCATTTGCAACTGTCATGATCCAAGCAAATCGTTTCTCTTTTCCCCCCCCCTCAAGCTTAACTATGGGACAACTTTATGAGAAGGAAAAGGATGAGGATGGATTCTTGTATGTTGCCTACAGTGGAGAGAACACATTTGGTTTCTGAATGGTGGGTCTTGGCTACTATACCATCCTGCTGTGTACCTTGTAAATAGCTGATCATTTTCTGTTCTGACATCCACAGAAGTTCCTTCTATATAGATGCATTTGTAACTGGATTTATTTCTTAATATATTGATAGGTCTTGTTTTATTAGACTGTTAAATTATATAAAAAAAAGTTTTGTTGTTTTTGTGCTTTTTTTTTTTTCTTTCTCATGGCTATGAATTCCCAGAGCCTCACTCCTTTGGGGGATACATTTGATGACATTGATTAAATAATAAGGCAAAGTAGTTGGGCTACTAAAACATGAAAGAAGAATATGCATTTATTCTGTTTTGAGGTGTTAGTTTAAGAAAAATAAAACCATTAAATTAGTATTGGGAACACTGGATTTGCTAACTTATCCTAAGCAGGAGCAAGATGCTGATCATGTTGAATTGAGATAATAACGTTCCTCTTTCTCAATTAACAAACAAGTACAATAAAAACTTCTGTCACAAACAGGCAGTGCTGTCATTTCTTTACCTTAATTTTATCCATAAAATTATACGTCACCTTTACTAGACACTATACAGCTGCTTACGTTATTTACTAGACACTGTAAGCTTCTCAACCTTTAGTATGTGGATGACGATACAAGGAAGAAACAAGGAGCTATCTGTAGATTCCAAAACTAATAGCTTCAGAGCTGCTGGATCTCATCAGGAAAAGAGCTGTGCCTGCCCACAGGCTGTCAATGGAGGAGGAAATACCATGGGCTTTGGAAAGCAGGACCTAGGGGACAAAAGCATAGCATGTAAGGAAAGGGCACCTAGGAGAAGGAATGATACCACTAAGAGACCAGAGAGCTGGAGAACTGGAAGGTGTAATTTATACATGGGTTCTTGCAGAGAGAGAAATAATTGTTAAGGAGTTCAGATTAAAACAGTTGCATGAGCAGGTCTTAAAAAAAAAAAAAAAAAAAGGCAGCAGTAGTTGTGTTACAGGTAGTTATATACATGTCCTTCCCAAGTAAAAGTTCTGTAGCTATTGTAAGGACATTACAGAACAAGTATAGGAAAGAACAGCTTTACTATGCAGCTGAGCAGTGCAGCTGACATGCCTGAGGGATGGAATGCCATTCAGAAGGACCTGAACAAGCTCAAGAAGTGGGTCAGTGCAAACCTCATGAAGTTCAACAAAGCCAAGTGCAAGCTCCTGCATATGGGTTGGGGCAACCCCTGGTATCAATA